CTGGACACACTGTACGCCGACCTGGCCGTGGATATGCCCAAGCTGGGTGCGGAAGCTGCCTTGGACCTCGACGAGAAGGAGGACGATGGGCCCTGCGTGATGAACAAGTTCAATCCACGCGCCAACGCCACGTAGAGAGGGGCAGGAAGGTCTTGGGAAGGGGGAAAGGGGAAGTCGGTGGGGGGCACGGCGGCGTGGTATACATACTGGGAGCGGACAGGGAGCCGGTGCCTGTTCTTGTCATAATGCGGAAGCATCGTGTTGCTGACAGAGACGAAAAAGATACTGACAGTGCCCAGGCGGCTTTAGCTGTCGCTAGGGTCATGGCACCCCCTGGTGGTATTTCCTCTCTCTCTCGAACAATTCCCTCTCCAAATAAGTTGGGGATGAAGAAAGCGCAGGGCAAATATTGCAACATTCGAAGAAACAAATGAACATCGGTGTGGCAGACTGCGAGCGTCACGCGTCGTGTGCTTTGTTTTGTCCATTTAATTCATGCTGTTCGTTGGTCACTGCCACTTTCAGCTATCTTAGCCGAATACACGCGGTTTGATCCCACATGGTGTGTGCTACCGGTGACATACACACACCACAATGCAAGGACTTCATGTTGTATATAACATATTACAGCAAAGTGCATTGCCAGCGCCTTCAATGCATCTACCCCTCGGGGCTTTCCGTCCATAAGCTTCCTGCTTGCCAAGAACCGGGAAAAAGCCACGCGTCCGAAAAGGTGCAGTTCTTCGACACACTCATGTTGCACCGTGCTCGCGCCGTCAAGATGGTAGAGTAAGGAACTCAAAGCCATGGGGTGAGCTTATGTTCACGTCCGTCGTCGTCGTGGGGAGGTAAACCGGCAATAACACGTTTTAACTTCTCGTCACAGTCTTTCAATACCCTTTACGTCCAACGACCACCTTCCCACGACACGAGCGTCCCCGAGATGCCTTGACCGCACATGTCCGTGTCTGTAAAAATGGTTTCGCTGGATATATTGCCCCCAGCGTCTCCAAGCCGCTCCCGCGCGTCGCTACGCGTTCGCTCTTGCAGTGGACATGACCATACTTGTTTTTTCCTCTTGTTTTTCAACCGTTACAACCCTGATGCGACGTGCACAACAACAGCAGCCATATCGCCTCGGAGAAATCAGAGGACGGAGGCAGCGGCCATGGCTGGCGCGCACATTTGGAGTTCAGAATGGGCCTACCTGCCAGAATGAAGAACATATCGGATTTCGTGCCTCCCCCCCCCGAGACCCAGAAAGCTCCGCTCACCCGTACGCTTCTGGTCGTTGGCCTT